CTTGAATGCTTGGTTGAGATGTCAAAATCTGAGCAGGTGTGCAGGACACATTGTGGCTTCATATCTTGTGTGGTGATGGCATCTGACATATTCAATTAAGTTATATTCGCCATTCCCACTTGCTTTTCTTTGCTTTTGTAACTATTTTTGTAACTCTTTTCTTTGCTTTTGTAACTCTTTGTGAGTTTCTTTGTTTTCTCGGAGCCGGAGCCATTGCAGAATACCCGTCCAATCTTAAGCTATGCCTTTCAAACATCATGCATGGATCCGATGTATTAATAAATCTATATTTATTCTCAATAGATTAATAATAAATAGATTGATAGATTAAAATCCCATGGTGGTAAAGGTTGCTACGAGGCATACAGTGACTTACAGTGGATTAATTAATAGATTAAATTGTCATAGTTTTAAAGGTATAGCTCTAGTAGTTATTATGAGGCTGTCGAGGCATACAGTTAGATTGTCATAAGATCAAATTCTCATGCTATAGGTAGCTCTACTGTATATACGCGGATACGTGTATACGCAGTCAAGTAGTTATTTTGAGATTTAAGGCGACAGTTAATTAACATTAATAGATTAAATTCTCATGCGATACGGTGAGCTTAAATGTGGTATAATATGTAAATATATATGTTACTCACAACCGAACATTGGTGTTTGACAGATTATGATTAATTAGCGTCGCTGGGAAAAAAATTATATTATAAAGTATGCCAAGCATAATATTAAACATTAAAAGTCTTGCATGATATTTCCTTTATCATATCAATTCGTCACATTGTCTTAGTAATTAGTTTGTGTATATTAGAACGAGGCAATAAGGTCGACTACATGATATGATATTACTAGTGGACGGGTATACTCTGCAATACTTCTATTTGCGGAAAGTGGTCTTGATGGTCGTTTTGAAACTTCCAGCATTTACTTGCACGCTATAGTTATCTTATCCTGATTCTCTTCAATTAGGATGACATATAATTTTAACTCGCAATAACAGTTCTTGAGTATTTTCGAAATAAAATAAGTTTGTAGATTTACTATGGCATCGCGAAGCAAATGGTACATCAGATCTTTCTGCATGTGGTCGAAGAAGAACAACGTGGAGTGATGGATATATGGGGTTTCAGTCATTTACGCAGGGTATAAAAGGATCCATCGGTAACGCGTGGAGGCCTGGACGCAGATCAACGTGCGTCCGACTATCAATGAGGAGTTCGACTGTGTACGGAAAAAAATTGCGGCGCCATAATTCATTGCCGTTTTGTTAAAAAGTAATTTCAAATGTAGCCAGCTTACGCTTGTTTACTCAATAACATACGCCAGAAAACGAATTGTACACGATTAATCGAAGCGTGTAAACGTAGCTTTATATAAGTACAGTCTTGAATTCAAATTTTAAGACTTATATAATGAGTCTTGAATTTGAAACAAACTCTCTTCAATTTTGACCAGGAGATGCTGCCCGTCCCTGAGTTGAGAAAGAAACAACAGCCGTTAAGTCCGTCAAACTGGGTGAAATTACAATAAGGACTAGCTGGATCCACCGTAAACTTTGCTTGGTGCACTCAGGGAATTCGTAATATCTGGTCTCTCTTTGTGAATGGTAAAGTGATATACTGCGCATGCTAAACGACATTGACGCGTATGTAATGCGTACACAGCAAAAAATCATTTTCTTATTTTAAGAAAATAAACTTGTTTAAAGAAAATTTTCTTGAAATAAGAAAATATTTTCTTGAGAGAATAACAAGAAAATTTTCTTAATAAGAAAATTTTCATAAGAAAATTTTTCTTATTAAGAAAATTTTCTTCAGAAAAAATTCGTAAATGAGAAAATATTTTCTTATTTTAAAAAAATATTTTCTCAAATCAAGAAATTTTTTTCTTGTTAAGAAAATTTTCCTGTTATTTTCCCAAGAAAAAAGTCTTCGTGAAATAAGAAAATTTTCTTAAAATTAGAAAATATTTTCTTATTTTAAGAACATATTTTCTCAAAACAAGAAATTTTTCTTAAAAAGAATTTTCTTATTAAAAACATTTTCTTGTTATTCTCCCAAGAAAAAATTCTTGAAATAAGAAAGTTTTCTTAAAATGAGAAAATAATTTCTCAAATCAAGGTGCTACTCCCATCCCAAACAAAATGAACACCCCTCCAAAAAACTATTTCAACCCCCCCCCCAACATTTGGCATAATAAAAAATAATTAAATAGTCCACTCCAACATGCAGAGTGTTGATGATATAAAATAAACGTAGGAGTACACTCAAATAGAAAAAGACAGTGCATTCACTGGTTTATTGGAGCAATTGTAAAGTTTTGAAACTATATTATCTTCCCCTGAATAGAGTTTGCAGTGCCTTCTCATGCAAATAGCTTGCTTGGAAGGAACATTTGGATTTTTTACAAACATATTTAGTTTTTAATTTTTTTAGAAAATAGACCTGCCTAGATTTAATTTTTATGCCCCAATTATTATTTACATCGGAGTTGCACCATAAAAATATTATGTATTCGGATTCAAACTACACAATGTCATGCAATGATTTTATAAAACTGGTAAAAGCATATTGTGTATTGGCCTATAAGGTTTACACTTTTATAGGTTTATTTAACTTTTAAATTAACTCTCCCAAGTCTCATCAGACAATCGGACATGCCAAATTTATTGATATGACTATTTCAAAGAACTTTTTTCAAAGCTAGGAATCATGATTTTTTTAAAATTTTCCATTGATACTTTTTTTTCTGCTCTCTAGCCTCCCCCTCGCATCTCTAGTGCTCCACCTCCAGAATATAGACCTTACTGGGGTATGGTAACACTTTGTGTTGCTTCAGTCACCTGCTCACGGCTCATCCCCCGCTAAAATTTCTGGCACCACCCTAGAAAAAAATATGAAAATCCGTCTATGTTAAAAAGATAGACCAGTATTAATTTTATGACTTATTATTTATAATGTAATTCATTTATAATATAATTCATTAATATAATTAATTTAATACTATTTATAATATAATACAATCACCTGTTCATATTGGTAAACGAAAGAGGGAGTATTAAACTGTATATGTTTTATATAAATTTTATTAAGAAGAGACATGGCTGTAAGCAGATACAGATGTCATGGATTCAGTTATCATTTTCTCGTGGCAAGTGCCCAGTAGACTATTATTCCTTAGTCATGCACCAAAGCTGTAATATTATGAAATGTAATAATTTGTCCAATACCATATCACACAGTTACTGGCAGTATAGTTTACTTCCGGTTGCTGCTCATGGTTCTCTAAACCAGCTGTATTTATGGAAGCTGGGCTGGATCTTACTGCATTAGGTATATTTATCTAGAAAAAATTATCATGTGTTTATGTGGATCCACAAGCAGGCTGGCTCTGATGCCAAAATGTTGCTTGTTGGGATGAAAATTTCTCCACATATACACTCACAAGCAGGCTGGGCCAGGATGAATGTTCAAAGATGCCGAGCAAGCTATCTTTAACAACTGTCAAAACAATGTCAACATAACAAAATTCTCCTGGCGAGTAGGATGGCATTTTCTTATATAAACATAATCTTCAACTGTATTAGTGATGCACCGATATATGGAAATTCACAGATATTCTGATAACTGATAATAAAAGACCAATACTTTGCGGATACCGATATTACCTGTCATTTCACGAAATTCAAAGATGACTGATAGAGCAATATGGATATCGGTAGATCAGTAGGCGAGTTACCCGGCAAGGTGAGTTACTCACTCAGGCAGGACAAAAAAGCAGTCTATTTATATGAAATCAAGTTACCCCATGATTGCTACAATCAAGTTACTACATGATTGTTACACACAATGACGTTATTTGCCATTTAAATTGCCTTGAAGGCGCTCTTTAATTCCAATTATAAATTTTTTTACAAAAATGTAAAACGACGCTATCCCGCGATTCTTCGCGTTCTAAAAGGTAAACTAGGTACCAGGCGTTTAGTGAATACGCGAACTATGGCGAACTATTCCGGAGTGCAAAAATTCTCTTCAACGATTCAATAGAACTGAAACGACCTCAAATTTTGGAAACGAAATAAAAACAAAGTGACTATATTACCGGCAGCCGGTCTAACTCTAAAAACGTTAGGGTTATTAGGGGTTAGGGTTAGAGAAGGGTTTGGGATTGGGGATCGGTTTATCTATCTTATACTGAAGATTCAACTTTAACTATATTGTCAATGTACTGCTGGCCATTTAGTGCTTGATCAACCGTGAGCTGCGGGTCATATAGTCTCTTCAATTCGAAATAAAGACTACAAAATTTACATGACGCAATAAGATATACGTTGTTCTAAGTCTTGTTAAGATATAAGTTGTCCTATAACACTAGCATTTTACATTTTCTTGCTTTATAATTTTAAGAAAATGTTTTCTTACTAAGAAAGTTTTCTCTTATTTTAAGAAAAAGATATCTTGGGATTCAAAAATTTCTTATTTTAAGAAAATTTTTTCTTACTACGAAAATTATTTTCTTATTTTAAGATTTTTTTTCTTAAATTAAGAAATTTTTTTCTTAATAAGAAAATGATTTTTTGCTGTGCACGTTCAACCTCATTTTTTACCACAACCGTAACCTCCGAGGACAATAGCATATGGGTTTGATATTTATAATTATAGGCAACATAAAAATCTCATAGTCGGTCTTTATTGAAATTTAAGGGAAGACCACTCACTCTTTCGGTTTTTGTCATATATTTCTAGTATTTATATTTACCTTTGTCTTATTCTCTGTAAACTAGAACAATGCAAACTTGAAATGTGAGTTGTCTAAATTTGTGAATTGGATAGCAACGATGTAAACATCGACAGCCAAAATTTTCTATGCCAAATAGTTGTCTTGGGCAGAGGAAGCCGGAACAGAACATCACGATTCAGGTGGTAAACTAGCTCGGAGCCAGAGCCAAACGAATATGTATCACATAGAACCAAAATTACATCTTTCTGACTCAATTACTAAAAGCTTACCGCGTTCTCGATGGCCATTAATGAGTCGGAGAAATACTTTTTACTGTCATCAGTCAGATCGTCGTTATAATCCAGGCCTTCCAGTACAACAAAGTCCAGTTCGTAAACATACGCATCTACGGAAAAATAGTTAGATCAAAAAGGAGTTTCGTAGGTTGCAACAAAATCTCAGACGAGTGAAACTCTGCATTTTGTAACCGATCGGGCTTTCAAAATACTGGAAGACAAGCACATGCGTAGTATTCGATGCCCCATGCAAGCATTACAATTTGTAAACCAAAATATTGGGGGGATTCCCTGATCCCACGCATGTTCCACTAGAAACAGAGAGTGCATTTTAGGTCTCTGAGACGTTATTTCATGATTCGTCGTGGTACTGTACTTGGAGAAAAATATAAGTGTGATAATAAATCACCATCTAATGGCGTTGTTGATTTTAGATCACTTGTCAATTTAATTAAGTGGGAGACATATTCACATAGAGATTTATATTAGCTGGAAAAAGTTTCGTAGATTATCTTAGTTGAAAACATTCTGCTGGCAATGTTTTACCCCTCCCCAATTTTCAGTTGGATTTCAACGAATTAATCACTCCCAATGGCAAAGTCGTGTGCTTGAAGGTAAAGCAGATACAATTATTTTTGCAAGATTGCACCAAATACCATTTATATATGAGTGTTACACAAAGCAAGACTGCATGCTCTCAGCTTACAAAGGCACGCTGTTGCGCGAAAATTAAAGAATTTTTTGTAAAAAATGCATTTAAAACGGACGGGCATTATTAGATAGGGCCTAGAATTAAACGAGCATGCATGTGTTTCCATTATATTGTTGCTGGAGATGAACAATAATCTTGCATGAGTGATTACTAGAGATCTAGAAAGAACGTCAATTTCTTGTCATATTTCAGGTAATTATTAGAATTGAGAACAACTAGCTGTTAATTCCTTCCAGTATTTGTTCTCCATATTTCGACTTCTGTACTTAAGGTTCTTTGTGAAGGATGAGTTAGGACAGAGTCGTAAGAAAATAGAAGATAGGTATTCAGTTTCTCCAAAATTTAAATCTCTGCATTACACACATAGCTAATTTTGTTCGCAAATAAATTGGAATCAAATCTTCTTCAATTCAACAAAGTCATGCGTTATAAAGTGAACAACCTTTCCCACCAAAACGAAACATCTTGGTCTCCACATCGACCAAACAAAATTGTAATGTTGAAACACGCCACACTAAATGTTAACATAATGCATACCTGCACAGTTACCATTGACAAGCCACTGACCAAATTGACAGAAGCAAGAGTAACTTCCGTAGCGATTTCGACATTCCAAATTTGCGGCGCAAACCCCGGGTGTTGTCAGACACTCGTTGATGTCTGAAAAAAAACAAATAAAACAAATTAAAAGGCTAAATACACCACTAAGTTTATATTTTAAAAATTTTCAAAACAGATGGCCAACATTATTTAAATCTCGCATGCAATGTTTCTCGCAACTGCTCGTACCCAATTTTTAAGCTAAGTAATATAGAGAAGCTTTCCGGTTGTTTACATCATGATCTGTTCGTTCCGGAATTGAAATTAACCTGCCCCTTTAATAGTTTTGAAACATCAAGACATTTATGTAAAAATCAAATTGATCATGATTTAAAACAATATTTAAACTAAAGAATCATGGCCAAAAATGGTTTTAACTGTTGGCGCATGCAGAAACATTCCCACGCGCGCGTGTGACATACGCGCAACTTTAAATCTACTATAAACAAATTTAATAAATACATTCGACAAAGTCTTTTTACAAAAAGTTAAATACAAATTTGGGCCAGGGATAGAAGATTATATAAGCTAGTGAAAGACTGTAAGACTGAATTTCTTAAAACTATAACGAAGATAATACAACATTCTAAACTTTAGAAGACCAAGCATGTATGATAATAATATTTATTCAGGAAACCAACATCACAAGAAGTGTTTTTCAGATGGTTCCTTCAAAACATTGAAATACAAAGTATAGAAAATATATATAGTGCGCGTGCAGTATTTACATATTGGTACATATTGGTATATATGGATATATATATATATATATATATATATATATATATATATATATATATATATATATATATATATATATATATATATATATATATATATATATATATATATATATATATATATATATATATATATATATATATATAATATGCCCAGAAAATTATGAGACTTATATAAGATACATGATGCTATACATATTTACAAGGATACAAAGAGTTAGTAAGTCATATTTTAAATAGTTATGAGTATTATAAAGATAGTGATTTAAGAAGTTCATTCCTGAAGGTTCCTAATTGTTCAATGGATCTAGTGTTATAGTTCAAATCGTTTATACAAGCCTGGTAAAGTAGCTATTGCTTTCCCCAGTTTGTCTTCGGCTTACAGATGTATATATCATCTCTGCGTCTTGTGTTATATAAATGATTAGTTTTAGGCAGTTCGAGATTAACCTCTGTTCAATTACTTTTTAATTTACATGCAATTAAATTGATGGTTTTCTTAAGGGGCACATTCGTTTTCTGGTATGTTCCGGATGCGAGAAAACCTATTCAGAGACGGAAAACCACAAAACCTTTATTCAGAGACGGGTATAGATTTGTTTCGTTCGACGTTAAGTCCCTATTTACGAATGTGCCCCTTAAGAAAACCATCAATTTAATTCTAGATAGAATTTACAACAAGAAACAACTTAACACAACCCTGGAGAAACGAACGTTGAAGAAACTACTGCTTGACTGTTGCACCAAGACTCCCTTCTGGATAAACGGCGAACTCTTTAAACAAGTCGACGGCGTAGCCATGGGTTCTCCACTTGGCCCTACCCTTGCTAACATCATCATGACTAACTTCGAAAATGAAATTGTACGCCACTTAATCGACTCGAACATTATCAAATTTTACGCCCGCTATGTTGATGATACTTTAGTCCTAGCTAAACCTTCTGATATGCCGAAAATAATACAAACGTTTAACTCATTTCACCCTCAAATCCAGTTTACCTTCGAAGATTTTCCTGACAACAATGTGCAATTTCTCGACCTAAAGATGAATACCTCGGACATAACTATTTTTCGTAAGATTACACATACCGGCCAATACACACACTTATCAAGTTTTACCCCATGGTCACGCAAAACAGCATGGATTAGAGCCTTAGTGAACCGCGCATATAAAATTTGCAGCAATCCACAGCTACTGCATACTGAACTCAAGGCCATCAAAGAATTTATATCCTGAAACGGTTTCTCTCATAACCTTGCTAAAAAGCTAATTAAATCCTTTACACCACGCACAGAAACACATAATAACATCACGCACGTCGACCAAGCAGATAGTACTATCCCAGACAACCTACCCAAGATATGGATAAGACTACCGTTCATTGGCAATTATGGCAAGACCTTGACAAATAAGTTTATGAGTAAAACACGCCGTTTGTTAAAGAGTCCGTGTAAGTTTATTTTCAACTGGCGAACCACGAACTGGAATTGCTTCCTGTCATGCAAAGACAAGACGCCGGACAAATATAAAAGCTTCGTGGTTTATGAATTTTCATGCCCGGGCTGCCGAAGCGTTTATATTGGCAAAACGGACCGCTGTCTCTACACGCGTTTAAAAGAACATAGCACGCGCGAAAACTCGGAGATCAACGCTTACATCAACTCCTTTGAATATTTTCAATACATTAAAACTCTTATGGAACTCTCACCTGACGCATTTAACCGTATAAACACTAATATTGCTCAATTTATTATATACATGACAAAATTACTGCAATCTGATTGGTTAAGAGGAGTGCAATTATTTCATTAATTGCACTCTCCAGGAGTGCAATTAATGATTTTCGTGATGGCTGGGGGGAGCGGGAAATCAAAACAACAAAATCCAATATGGTGGCGAAAATTAGATAAATATTTCTAACATATGTAGACGAATTTAATTGAATTTTGGCACAAGAATGAGTTTAAGAAACATTGTATGGCAAAAAGAGCCTGTGGAAAAATACCTCGAAACAGCCTTAAGTAATAATCTTGGCGGGATGCAGCGAAACGTAACTATGTAAGTTTGAAATACAATTTATAAAGATGTTCTTAGTCTAAAATATGTTGTTTGAGTTTGAATTTTGTGTTCTAGTTTAAATTATGTGCCTTTATGAGTTTATAATCATTTCCCAAGTTTGATTATAACAAATTGCTTACAAAAGAATTAAAAACTCTTGACAAAACGCAGTTGAAATGTAAAGAAAGCGATTTTGGCACATTTTTCAAATATCACTCGTAGTGTTAATCATAAATTGCACTCCTTCCCGTGTGATTACCTATACTAATTTTCAACAACTGTAAAATAATTGACAAGTCTGATCACTGGTCTCTGTTATTGTATAAAGAGTCTTTTGCTATACGGAGGCGAAACCCGGAACTAAACCACGGCGCTAAAGCATCTAAAGAATTGATCATATTTCACTGACATTAAGCTCCGCCTTTTCTTCTCTTTATATATAGCTGCATTTGTAATCTTACACTAATCCTGAAGATGACTACAATCAAGTCGAAACGTAGATTCAATAAATCAAAACAAAATGTTATTCGGAGTTACTGTTCTTTTGTATTTTATAAAAACATTGAGTGGTTCCCATAATTATGCATCTTGAAAGATCCTTGATATCGCTCCACAAAAGCTCATCACTACATGGAAATCACCAAGACGCAAAATAGATTTGACCATAAAACTTTCATTCTTCCAGCGAATCTGTTGGGCCTTCGCATATATGACCTCATCAAACACAAGATCTACATACTCAAGATTTAACATGGCAGCTATTTCTAAGCTCTTTACGAAAATTGTGTAAACTGTTGTGTACTATTTTATTTTATTTTATTTTACAAGATTCGCCAAACATAACAGACATAAATAAGACTAATACTTTACAAAATTTACATACAATTCGGGCAGGGACTAGCCACAGAGATTATCTCCAATTATGGGGCCCCTCACAATAAGTTACAATATATAACATTAAAACAAATTATGCTAAAATGTCAACAACATGTCCTCACTAATAAACTATCAAGAGACCGAGTTGAGTGGCATTTGACGCACACGGACTTAAATGTTCTAGGATTGTCCGGGTTGTATATTTGTTCTAAAAGGTTTAAGTAGTAATTGAATAAAGAGATTTTAAAGTAAGCTAATGATCTTGCATGACGTGTCACGAATATTGCTAGGGAGAATGTTCCATACGCTAGGCGCTCTCACATAGAAATTGTTCTTGTAGCTAACTGTCCTGCATCGAGATACATTAAGAAGAATACCATTGACAGGGTCAGCGTTTCTAGTCGTCCGGGTGGTTGTTCGTATTGACACATTGACATCGTTGCTTAGAATACTCTTGTAAAGAAAAACTAAGTCTAGAAATTCGTGCCAATAGCAGACCGGGAGAATACCGATAACCAGTAGTCGTTCCCTGTATGCTGTGGCTGTTCTGTAAGGAAGGGAAAGGATGAATTTGGTCGCGCGACGTTGAACCCGTTCTATTGACAGTATGTCGCTGACAGTTTGAGGTGCCCACACCTGGCTGGCATATCCTAACTTGCTGCGCACTAAGGACAGGTACAACACCTTTCGCACGTGGATGTTATGCGTGTCGGAGGCTGTTCGACGAATGAAGCCTAGCATTGAGCTCGCTTTTGATGTTATATCTTCAACCTGTTTCGTCCACTTGAGATCTTTTGTGACAACAATCCCAAGGTCTTTTTGATGACATAGTTGCTTCAGAGAACTATCCAGTAGTTTATAATTTGTTGTGACCGGTTGACGACTTCTTGTGAAGCTCATTACTCCGCATTTAGACTTATTTAAGTCCATCTTCCAGATAGTACACCAGTTCACGAGATTATTGAGATCATTCTGCAGACTTTCGCAATCGGGTAAATCTTTCACCGGACGGTAGCACTTGGTATCATCGGCAAACATTGCCACAGTTGATTCGCCCGAGGTGGAATGTGGAAGATCGTTCACATATACTAGGAAAAGGAGGGGCCCCAAGATTGATCCCTGAGGAACTCCAGACAGTACAGGGAGTGTACCGAGGTCTCACCCAGAACAGTGACTCTTCGGTAGCGGCCGGAGAGATAATTTTCAAACCAACTTAGTAGGTCACCTGTTATTCCAAACTTGTGAAGTTTAGTCAACAAAAGCTTATGACTAACCTTGTCAAACGCTTTTGCAAAGTCCAAATACACAGCGTCGACTTGGTTTCGATTCTCCAACGCTTGGTGAATATCCTGGAGAACAGAAGCTGTGAGGTGGTTGACTTGCCTCTGAGGAAACCGAATTGTAGATGGTGTAGTTGAGTGGAAATGTGTGATACGAGTTGGTACGTTGTAGACGCAACGTTCGAAGACTTTGGAGACCAGGGACAACAGAGATATTGGTCGATAGTTTGATACATCGTCAGCTGGACCTTTCTTTGGGATTGGAACAATATTGGAGAGTTTCCACTCATTTGGAAGTTTACCCAGAGATAAACTCTTGTTGAAGAGATCACATAGCGATAAATAAATACTGGACGCACAGTTTTTGAGGAGTTTCGCTGGTATTTTGTCAGGGCCAGTGGCTTTGTCTTCATCGAGAACAGTAAGAACGTGGTAAACTTCCTCGGGTGTTAAGGTGATGCTGGAGATGGTACATTCTGAAGTATCAGAGTTCGAGTCACTAGAGTTCGCTGAAGTATCAGAGTTCGAGTCATTGTATCATAAACAATCGGAAACGCTTTGTTGTTTTTATCCAAAGTAAATATTTGAATCGTAGAATTCACTATTATTCAAACTGCCAAACAACTTTCAATCCTACTGTTTTGTCCTCACATTTGTTGATGTGTGGAGAGATTCATCCCAATTAATCCAGGACCAACAATGACTAACATTAATTCAACTAGCAGTGGTAACTTCGGTTCGCGTAAACCGAATACTGAACAAAAACATTCCAGCTTGTTTTGCATGTACATGAATGCAAGGAGTTTGAAAAAGACCTTCCTTACGCAGGAGAATCGTCATATTTCCAATCTCATCAAGTTTCAAGAGCTGGTTTACTCAGATTCGATTGATGTAATGTTCGTGACTGAAACTTGGCTCAACAGCAATATGTCTGATAGAGAAATCTTACCAATTGGGTATGACATTTACAGAACAAACAAGATACTTTCATAAATTGCCATCAAATTTCGTCTGTTTCTATGAAAAACTTAGAGGCTGTTGCTATCGAGTGTACATTACCTAACCTCACGAAATGGCTTGTTGTATGTTGTCACAGACCTCCCGATAGTAATGATATGTCTGATTTCCGTCCTTTGCTGATAAGTTATTTCCTGTCTACGATAAGATCCTTATCGCCGGTGACTTTAACCTCCCGAATATTTCCTGGACAGATTGTAACTATACCTCAACAGGATCATTGAATCAGAACTTCTGTGATGTATTAGACGACTACTTCGTGTCCCAACTTTGTTTGGTTCCCACTAGAGAGTCGAACATTCTGGATTTACTAATTACCAACCAACCAGAACACATAACATTAATGGACGTTCACCCTCCAGCTGAGTTAGGAATGAATTCTGATCATAATATCATGCACTTCCAAATTTCTACCCCATCAAATATTGTCCTCCCAAGCAAACGTTTGATCTACGATTACAGACGAGCAAACTTTGACGGTTTACGAAAAAAACTAAATGATATGGACCTTCGCACTCTGTTAGCAAACAATGGGACGGAATGCAGTATCGATGACGACTGGTTCACCTGGAAGAAAGCTATGTTGTCAGCTATGAATGAGTTTATCCCTACCAAACACGTAGACCCCCACCGCACGCCTCCTTGGATAACATCAACCATACTACATCAAATTCGTAAAAAGGTAACTGCCCGAAATAGATTTCTAAGCCGAGGGACTGAATATCTCAAGACGAAATTCAACCAGCTAAGAACTGACGTTAAAAAATTAATTAAAGAAAGTAGAAAGTTGTTTTTCTCATCCTTAGGAAACACCTTACGAATCAATCCAAAACGTTTCTGGTCTGTCTTTAAAATCAACTCGAACACTGGAACTATCCCTTAGTCAGTCTCAAGGACAAATTCCAACATTCCGGAGACTAGATTACATGCAAACACGCCTCGCGATATTGCAACAATGTTCAATGAATATTTCCATTCTGTCTACACCAACTTCTCGGGACAATCTTCATCACCTCGGCCTGATTCCTCACCTCAACTATCCAGTATATCATCCATTGACCTCTCTCTAGAAGAAGTATACCTAGCCTTACAGAACTTAGATCCCTTCAAGGCTCATGGTCCTGATGGTTTTCCATCTCGTGTTTTAAAGGAATGTGCATTTCAACTTGTTCCTTCTCTACATTACTTGTTCACAAAGTCCCTCCGCTTATCACAGATTCCCACCAAATGGAAGTTAGCCAACATCATCCCTCTACACAAGAAAGGTGTAAAAGATCACGTGGAAAATTACCGACCCATTTCTTTGTTAAGCATTGTCAGCAAGACTCGTGAACGCTGTGTCCTAAACCACCTATCTCTACGCATACAGGAAAGCGTTCACTCAGCACAATATGGATTCATTAGTGGAAGGTCTAGCACATCTCAATTACTGTCGACATTACACAAAATAGGGAAGGACTTAGATAAAGGACTATAAACGGACGTTGTCTTCATGGACATTTCTAAGGCTTTCGATACCGTTGACCACTCCAAACTGTTACAAAAACTTCGCAATTTCGGTCTATTTGGCTCTCTCTTGTTGTGGTTTGAAAACTATCTGTCAGATCGCTGTCAACGGGTAACTGTTCACGGCGCGACATCTACTCCCTTACCAATAACATCCGGAGTCCCACAAGGTTCATTGCTGGCTCCCTTCGTCTTCTCGGTGTACATTAACGATTTGCCCGATAACATATCCATTTCGACTGGGGTCGGCTTGTATGCTGATGATACCAAACTGCACAGATGTGTGCAAAATCGTAACGATGCACTCGCACTGCAATCGGATATTCAAAGCTTCCATTGTTGGTCAAATCGGAACATGATGAGCTTTAACAAATCGAAGTGTAAAGTGTTGTCTATCACGAGAAGGAAATCTCCCTTAATTTACCCATATGCACTTGGCGATCACCAACTATTGTCTTCTGATGTAGAGTCTGATCTGGGCGTTACGATCAGTTCTAGACTATTATGGAATGTTCAGATCAACAAAGTTCGGTCAAAAGCCAACAAAACGCTCGGGTTAGTTCGACGTTCCACCATAGAGATAACGGACACCAACGCGAGAAGGCTTCTGTATCTTCAACTTGTGCGAAGTAACTTCTCCTATGCAATCCAAGCCTGGTGTCCTCAGTCAGTGAAACGTATCGATGACGTTGAGAAAGTGCAGAGACGAGCAACTAAATATATATTGAATCTTGGGTTTATCACAGACATTTCTTACAAGACAAGACTCCTTCAGCTCGACATATTACCCGTCTTATATTGGTACGAATACTTGGATCTGGTGTTCCTCTACAAGATCATCAACAATCTTACATACATTGATGAACGTGCTCTACCAATCATGGCTGGATCAGGAATTACAAGAAGTGAATCAAACGCAAACCTGATTAGATTCCAGTCCTAATTTTTTATAAGAACTTGCAAAACGTGGAACATATTAAATAGTACACATCGCCTTTATTTAAAACATGGTAAACCTTCAGTAATATTACATAATAAATATTGTCAAAATTATTCTAAGCTTAAAAATATTTGGTAGTATATATAAAAATATAACAAATATGGGGCTACTGTTCTACCAGGTTGCCGTGTGGGAGTCGGACAAGAGTTAAATAGCATTATTAGTTGTTAAAGATCTTTTAAAAGATGGAAGTGATAAAGATGATCTCAGAGATTCAGGCAAGCTATTCCATAATGACGCTCCACTATAACTAAAGGAGCGCTTAAGATAATCCGTTCTAGGTTAGGGAGAAACAGTTTGCCTTCAGAATCTCTGAGACTATAGTGACTATAACTCTAGTTACAAACAAATCTTGTAGATACATAAGTGTTAAATTGTTCGTGACCTAGCTTATACATGAGAATTGCTTTTTAAATTTTACGGTTAGTATATAAATTATTCCATCTAAGTTCTTCAAGTACAGAGCTAGATGAAGCATCATAGGAAGAACGTGTTATAACACGTGCGGCTCTAGTTTGAAGTTTTTGCAATTTATCACTCAATTTACTACCAATGCCGTCCCAAACAGGAGCGCAGTAGGAAAAATATGGCTCAATTAGTCCCTGATACACTCTAGCTGCTGTATCTTGACTAATATAGCTTCTTATTACATACATACATACAAAAATTTATTTAAGCACGCTGGCCTCAACAACTCGGAACTGATTTCCATGAGGGGCGTGATTTGGAGAAAATATACTGTACAGTCTACAGATAAACATTAAAAATACAAAAACAAAGAAAGAAGAATTACATATACAGTAGGCAACAGGACGAGCCAATTTTAAGTGTTTGCCTGATTAATAAAGATTCCGCTACTTTTACCTCATTCAGAATTTTATACATAAAAACAGATTTTAGATAATTTCGCCTTAGTTCTAGGTGTTTCCAACCCAGACTTTCAAGTAAATCAACCGAGAGAACATCGTAAGTCGCACTAGAAATTACTCTTGCAGCCCGATTTTGAAATTTCTGCAACCTGTCCCTGCGACCGAGACTTTTTTGAGATTTCATCGATAAGTCGGTATGGAATAAAACGTAATAAATTGTGGGCTACAAGCGATAACAGACTGTATGGTGTATATCGAAACACCTTGTGAATTGCTACCTACAAGTAATACCAGACTGTAAGGTATAAAACGTAGCAAATTGTTAGCCCCAAGCGATACCAGTGGTATATAACGAAGCGTATTGCAAATTGCGACCCATAGGTGATACCAGACTGTATGGTGTAAAACGTAACAGATTGTGGGCTACAAGTGATACCAGACTCTATGGTCTATCACGAAACGTATTGCGAATTGCCACCCATAAGCGATACCACACTGTATGGTATAAAACGTAACAAATTGCGGGCTACCAGCGATACCAGCCTGTATGGTATGGTATATAACGGACCAGACTGTGCATGGTAACTCTTGTACCTTGTAAGCCCAGACAAAAGAGACAACATGTCAAACGAGTTTTCTTAGTTTCATATCTATTATTATTTGTGCTTACTCAAATTCATCCCAAATCCCACTTTAGACTACTCGTGCAAGTTAAGTCACTACAACAAGAGACTGCAATGATCATTCACTATTTCTATCCGAGACCAATCGAGCTGCCACACCGTCAATCCGCGTAACAGGTGTCCGTATAAATATCTGAAACGCCTCACTGAGCCATCAGCCCATACTTTTAATTAAGTGGTCAGGCACACCAGCCGACGCAGCCGTTGTCGCCGCTCCGATTCGAAAGCTATGTCCTGAATAGTTGCCCTCGAGGCCTAACCGAGTCGCTGCGTCGTATATCCACGCAACTAATCAAATCACACCTATCAATTACTAAGTAATAACTTTATATACAGTAAATGCTAGCTTCAGTTACGATATTTCTACAATGGAAACCAAAGGTCCAAGACGCATGTAGAGGTCCTATTACCTCTTCCAAAATTAAAATGATGCACGTTGTAAGGCGTTTAGAGAGTTCGAGCAAACCATAGCACCGGCTTGGCCAAGTGTGAAAAATATCGTCAAGGTAATGCAAAACAAGTTGAAGATCCCCGGGGCGCTTCGCAGACCAAAGGGTAAAGCAAGATCAATAAAATATTGTCCCCGCCATTTCATACCTAACAAGCATCCTTTGGATGTCCACTTTGCCCATTAATGCCCCCAACCAATCTTTATTATTAGTCGGATGGAATCTTGTACAGCACTATAAACTCCTGGAGATTTATTTTAAATCCCATCGTTCACGCTGTGGTCATCTGGAAACGACAAGTCTAAAATCAAACGCCACGCATCAGGTTTGTTTTTCTTTGGAATCACTCCAAAGCGACTCTCGTGCATATTAGGAAAATGTGGCGTATCAAATGGACCTGCCACCGTTCGAATTTCATCTGCTAGATATTGTCAATGATAT